CACTGAGTTTCTCGTATTTGACTTTTGCTCAATAAGCAAGAATCTACTTCGTTCATACTGTTATTCCTCGTTTACTAATACATACAGATTCAAGCACTGTACGTAAGAAAAATACCTTTTTCTTCAATTTTATAATTTTTTATGTTCAACCTCCTTCTTTCTCTCTCGTACACTTTAAATAAGAATTTGTCGCAGAGAAACAAACGAGTCTACCTCGCTACTATTGTTGCCAGAAAAATCAGTTAGTCCGTTTATATTTGTCGTTTTTCTATTCGAATTTTTTTGTTTTCTAAAACGTATCTTGTTATCGCGATCGCGATTTCTGTGTATAGTGAACGTTCGGCAGGGAGCGTTACGGTATTATTTTCGCGCGGCGAGATCGGCCGCTCTTTAGTGAGCGCACGTCGATTTCCGCGAGCGCATATCGGCGCCGAAAATATGTACACGCTGCCGCGCAGACCGCGTGCACGCGTGTGTGTGTGAGTGAGCGTGCGCGCGCGCAGGCTAGTATAGAACGGATGCTATACTACCGGTACGGTATGGCCGCACTCTGCACTTCGACGCGCCGTTATCTCGGCACCATCTAGCTTGGCTAAAAGCTTCTCCCCATCAACCTCCCTCCTTCTGTTCCCTTACTACGGGCCTGGAACCTTCTCCTAGCCGACGCCGCGGCGTGTATAGTGCGTCGTACCCCCGCGTGTCCTAATTTTTCGTCGGATTGGTACGCTTGTGCCGCTTAATAAACCGTATCTTTCTTTCCGATTCGACTGTAAATCGAATATGTTCTCGTATATCCTTTTTTTTTTTATTAACGTAAAACATTATTATATTTTGATGGCATGAAATCTAGTTCGTCAAAAGGAAGACCGAATACATGGGAAAATGCTTTTATAATATTGTTTAAATCTTGGACTTTTTTAAAATCTTTTTAGCGTTACATTATGTTTAATTTTTTGCAGGAAATCGTGCGATATTTGAGCATGTTTGAAAACTGCAATTTTATTAAACGACGATAGACTTAATTAAATATTATAATTCTACGCGTCGATTGAATCTTTGTTTTTAGTCTTCATACTCTAATGGTTACAATAGTAAAATTATAATACGTTAGTAACTATTTTTTAAGAGCTCGGAAATTACCCGAGCTCTTGAAAAATAATCCGGAAACTCAAAAGTCTTAGGAAACCAGGAGCGAAGAACCGAGAAGTTCGGAATAGTTGAGAAATTTCGATAACCCGAAAGTCTAACTGAAAATTAGTAGATAGAAAAGTATGAAAGTTGAATGAGAATCTATTTAATCTAAGGACCTAAGATTACAAAAACACCCATATTTTACCCATTGTGTTTTTCGGCCAAAAAGTAAAATTTTACCTTAACACCATAAATATGATGACGTTGAAGATATATACAATAGATAATTTCGCTTTTCGCTTCATAAATCATAAATCGAAGATCAGAGTCAAAGTACTTATATACATAAGACGGACTACATTCCAGCTCAAAAGTTGGGAAACATTTTTTTTTCTTTAAATTAATTTTCTTGAAATTATTTATTAAATATCCATAACGATGTATTTTTGACGATCATTTTTTTAGATACAACAACTGTTATTGAATCAGAAGAAGTATTGTTAAAAATACATTGTATTTTTACTGGTATATTTGAGTAAGTTATTCCACAAACGTCAATGTTTAAAAAATATTTCCAAACTTTCCAAAAGCCTGAAGTGTAAGTGTATAACAAACACACACACATACATAGAATAATAGCGAACGAATAAATTTTTAACAAAATAAGTGAGTTTATTGAGATTCTCGATTATCGATTTCATGTGGATGTTGAAAGCACTTTCGAAGTACGTGGTTGGAGCTATTATCAGCGAGATAGACCGAGTCACCCTCGCGGGACAACCGGGCTTCTATTTTCCTATGTACAGAGTGTCCCGATATTCCTCTTACAGTCTGTTTTAACTACTTTAATCACACATATCGATCTCTTATGTTATATCTTATTAAAAGTTCAATCAACGATTTCAAGTACTTATTTTTCTTCAAATACTTCGACGATTATTCCCTCATTCAAATTAAACCAAAAATAACTAACATTAATGCAAAAAAAAAAGCGAGAGCAAGCGCTTATATTCTCAGAATTCGATTCACGAAGAATATTGAGCTCTGATAACGAGCGTCATTTTTAGAGCGTGGCTCTAATTCCAGCTTCGTCAATGTCTAATCTTAAGGAGTGAATTAAAACTGTCACCCTGCCTTTCGCAATCTCGGCGTTAAACTTCTTCAGCTATCGTGAATTTTTAACATATATTTTGTTGAGTTGGAAATCATCAAATAAAAATTCCGTTGAGGTAGTCTCCCCGCTCGAGATATCACGGATTGAACAGAGAGCTCCATCGCGGCGTTCGCTTTTCCCCGACGTCATATTTCGAAAAGGCGAAGGAAGGCGAAACCTTCGTCTCCGACCCTTTTGTAACTCGGGGACGATCGAGTTCCTCCGCTCTCCCGTTCGCGAGGAATCGCCTCCATGTTGGCGGCGAAGGAAATATCCCTGACGGTATTCCCGACGTGCGGCGGTGACGCGGCGTTAGCGAGAGTCCGGGGACGACCTGTATGTGTACACACAGGTGGGATATGCCTCTGTGTGCGCGCGTGCGTGTCACCGTGGACGCGGGGCGGTGAAGGGGCTGCGGGACTGCCGCGGTCGCCGTACGCGTCTACGCGTCTACGCGCATTTACGCGAACGGCAAAAGCGACGGTCCCGCGGACGCGCCTTGCGCGGGCGCGCCATATCGATCTGCCGTTTCCAGGGCCGCTTAAACCCGCGACTCACGCCCGAGTATAATAATTCATGGGTTCAATGGCGAGCCCCGCGGAACGGAATTCCGATGGGAGCCGCGCGATGGCTCGTGTCTTCCGGCCGTTTAGACCGCCGTGGTAATGATATTAATCATCGCGCGCTAATAAAATCGCGCGACGCAACGCGGTACTTTCAGCGGGTGGCTATCGCCTCGATAAAAAAGACGCCGATTTTTTTTTCTACCGAAGACACGTTTATGGTGCGTTAAGATGCTACGTCGCGATTTAATTGAAAAAAAAAAAAAAAACGATTATAAACGTGTTGGAATTATGAAAATTGCACTAATAAGACGAGCATGTGTTGTTATTTTAAATTAAATAGATCACGTCCTTACGTCAAACGATATGAATGAGCTCGAAAAATATTATCTTATTAATCATTAAAAGTAACTTATTTTCATTAAAAAATTATCAAAATCATCACGACTCAAACTGGATCATTTATTTTAAAATTGTTGCATTTCGAAAATGCGATTTTTTTTAAGGCTTGAAACAAAGCATTTAATTGTTTAAGAATATATTTTTGCTGATATTATTTGAATAGTTATTGTAATAATTCTTTGTCAACACTGAGAAAAATATTTGATTGGAAATAGACGAACCAGAAGATTTTTAATTATATCAATCAGAATTCCGGTTATCTCAACTCTATATAACAGATATAACCAGAAAATTCTGCTTCGTCCATTTTCAACCAGAATTCTAATTAATCCAACCAGACTTTTTTCTCAATAAAGTTGAAAAATAGCTTTTCCCATTTTTCTAAGAATCACAGTTTTTTTGAATTGTACTATTTTTAAAGTAAAAGAGCGATATGTCTATGTCGAATTAATATGAAGATTTGAACACAAGATTTGAAGTTGTGGCAGGATGAAAAGAGCTAATCCTTTATCGCGCGATTTATGCATCGAGTGCACGTCAAAACGTTTCTGTCCTGTTACTGTCCTATACATAGAAAAAACAATTTTGCTGAAATATCTTAAAATTTAGCTAGACACAAATCTGAAAACAATTTTGTCGGACCGCCTAATTAATTACGTAGCAATTTTAAGTAGAATGAATAATGCTGCAAATGACATTCATAGTAACTAGTTTGTACGTCCTACATAATTATTTGATTTTATATATAGTTCAACAAAATTGTTTTCAGATATCTAGCAAAATTTTTATATACCTCAGGCGTCGTGTATATTCATTGATATGCGTTGTTTCCAAGACACCCTATATAATGTTATAATAATTGTGCGTGCACACCAGGCAATGACGGGGCGATGCAGCAGCGCGGCGGTGCGGCGTCGATCTTTGATCTACGATAGAACGTCACTTTTCTTTCGTAGACCCGAATCCTCTCCAGCGAGAGTAACACCTGCATTCTGCAGAAATAAAAGCCCGACGCGCCCAGTTCGATCGGCCAGCGAGCGGTTTCTATTATTCACAATAAACAGGATCACGCGATTCACCTTCGATTCATATCTGCGTGGATCTGTCGATATGTATCTATGTCGATTCACGATTGATTGTGAAATCTTGATTCAGTATTTAATAAAAAGATTGCAGAAATCTTTCTCTCTCGCGCGTTAATCATTGCTCGGAATTAACAAGCTGAATGAGAAATACGCAGCAATATAATAATAAACGGATAAACCGGATTACTAAGTAAACGTTTTAACATATATTCTCTCTCGCGACTGATGACGTAGTACCACGTCTTTTCACGAATTAAAAATTCATACTGGTAATATAACCAATGATACTGTATGTTATACATATTACGTCTATTTTATTTGGCAAAAGACAAATTAATGCTTGTCTATTTGTAATATTATATATCAAAATATTAACAATATTAAAAAGAAAAATAGAATAAGTGAATAACTCATAAAAAAAAAGAATCCTATATTTAATCGAGAAACAAATCTTGATGTTTAATAATATTTATATATAAATTTTCAAATATAATTTTCGGTTCTATATAAATTTCATGCCGATTCTCGGACTTGAAAAACGCAATCGTAAACTGCAGCAGAAATAATATTACAGATTATATTGATCGTCAAGTTTAATGGAGATGCTAATAAGCATCTGCTCCTAAACAAATGTATGCACTGCAAAGAATTTATTGTAAAAAATATCGCCTCAGCCAGGATTCGAACCTGGAATCTCCTGACTTATGAGGACAGACGTCTTTCCATTCGACCACCGAGGCCTTATAATGATATTTATTGCGATAATTAGTAAATATTAAGAACCGTGGCACAACAAAAGACTTCAGTAGTAAAACGTAAACAATAAGGAAATCAACATGCTGGATTTCTTACTATTTACGTTGTGATCTTACAATCTCTACTGTCATGATAAATTCCTTTACTGTTTACATCTTACTGCTTAAATACTTTTTTGCATGTTATGGCTCTAAGAGTCAAAGGTTTAAAGAACGTCTTCCATTCTCTCTCTCACTATTTACTGATTATTGTAATAGATATTATATTCAGTAGTCTGTTGAAAAGATCTGATCCTGGCAGGTCGGAAGATTTAGGTCTGAATCCTAACTGAGGCGATATTTTTGCAATAAATTCTTAGCAGAGCATAAATTTGTTAAAGATACTTTTAGGAATCTGTGAACAATCTCTAGAACTGAAAATATATTTGAGATACAAAGGGGTTTCCGAAAGTAACAGAATCACGAATTACAGTGCACTACGAATTTCGAACTAGCTTTACGGATTGCAAAAGTTTTTTTTACAAAATTACAATATTTCAGTTAACATTTTACTTTAATTACAAAAGGTTTTTTTTTAAATTTGTTGATAGCTTCGTAAATAATATACATTCGCTCATATAAAAGAACGATATCAAATGCTTGCAATAATGCAGTGTATAATTACACGATTGTGAGAATACATATTAATCATGCAAAAAAAAACAACAATATTAAGCCACTCGAGTGTGATACTTTAGTTTACCAACTAGAATATTTGTGAGAAGACCACTAACAGCTCTCACGAACGTAAATATTCTATATAGTTATGCTTCGCGACATTTCGAAGACTATCAATGAGATTCTTATCGTTTACTGAAGACAACTCCGCTAAATTAGAATTTGTTGCACACTTAATAGCTGCACCGATGATCGCGTTTGTATTTCAAGGATCAACGTGTACGGACAGTAAAGATATTGTCAGCGTCAATCGAGAGTAGAACTATCGCAAGACGTTCCATTGGGAACTCACAATGAGTTACGAACTTGCATCAATGTTTCAATTAACGAACCGAACCGTCATTATGGAGAAGACGGAAAGAAGGAACGAAGATACGCGTTGGTGTGCGAGGTACAGCTATATTCAACACAGCGTCCGTTTTTCTCCTCAAGGTGAAACAAAACCTTAAATAAAACGATAAAAAGAGGAGAGAGAGAGAGCGAGAGAGAGGAAGAGAGGTGGACTCGAACGCTTACCAACCCTCGGCCTCGTCAGCCTTTTCAACGCGGTAGCGTCCGCACTGTGCGCACTTGTCTTCTCGAGACAAGAAGCTGCAGACTTTTAACGAAACCCGCGTACAACTAGATAGAGGCAGGTAAAGCGGGAAGTAAAAACCTTCGCGTGGTTGCATCAGATAAAGCTCCTAATAAAAGAATTTCTAAATATTTTTTTAATTCTAGAATTATATTCTCTTTATATCGATTTTTATGGTAATTCTACATTGTGCTTTTCGTTTCCTGTTGCTTGTCGTTTGTTTCTCGCCTTCTTGATCAAAAAGGCAAATGACAAACAGAGACATACAGCAAGAAACAGGAAATGAAAAGCACATTGTAGAATTAGCCTAATGCTCAATTTTTTAACCTCTAGATAATCTTTATCCAGAAGATATCTGCCAGAATACAATGGAGATATCTCCTGGATAAAGTTATCTGTTATTTATCTGGAAGTAAAGAAATTGAGCATTAGAGATACTTTAAAAATGTTTTCAGAATATATATATTTGAATAATACTTTTAAATTTATTTTATTTCTAAATATACGTACTTCATCAAAACAAATGATAATAACAGAAGATATTTACTTTAATTTCTATATATACTTGCAAAATAATTTAAAAATGCAGTTTAAATTTTATACGTCAAATAGACGTATCTATACTTGATGGGTTTCTAAATTTATTTTTGTAGGATTTTTAATCAGATAACTTTCGCTCCTTTTTTCGTGTTACCTCTTTTTCGAACACCTATTGGATTTCGTGTCATTAAGGTAATATTGCTTTATATTAATAAATCGAAAAATACAAGAACATTTTGAGCGTCGGAAGGAGAGCTCGAGCGGACTGTTTTTCCACAACGAATCTGGATGAAAAGCAATAATTAGCCCCTCTAGGCATTATGTATCCGTTACACAATGCCCGCCGAGATATATTAATCCCTTCTTGGCTGTAAAACAACCGGAGGGTAATAACACGTATAAATCCCTTTCGCGTTTCGAGCTGTGTGGCGTTACTACATGGATACTAGAGATTTTATCCCATAATATCGTCGTTCCAAATATATTAGAAAATTTCTACGGGGATTTGAAGAAAAGCGTTATATGTGTACCTTCATATGTATAAAAAAAAAAAAGAGAGAGAAAGAAAGAAACACTGATTGCAAGGGGGCCGAAAAATTGATGTATGAAACGAAACATACGGCAGGTTTATAAATGCCTTTTCCAATCGATTTTAACTACCGGAAACAAGAGGTCGACATTCAGATGTGTGTCCATAACGTTGCCAAGCGAATGCGAGTTGATCGGAAAAAAAAAAAAAGGATTCGCACGGGATGCGTGGGACGTACAGCGGATTTATAAATACACTTTCTGAAAATTAACTTTTTAACTATTGCAGACTATTATTATCTGATAATATCCATCGTTTAATAACGTTATCGAAAAGCGGATACTCTCCATGTCGAGAAGGGTGCAAGGACGAACGCGTCTGCACGAGCACTGTTTTATAATCGATCATTTTTGCGCTCGATATAATCCGCAGCCGAATGTGGGGCGAGGTGAGGGCACCCGCGTACAAAACGCCGCGGGGGTTAATATGTGTTTGGGCGCGCGATCCCGTATGTAATGGATCCGTAATGCGAGCCGGCGATTATTTTCCGCCGCCGCGCACCATTATCGGTCGAACGGGCTGTTGCCCGGTGACAAATTTACCAGCGATTCGAAAGCTTTTAGTGGTAAAAGTTTGGCGCCGATCGCGCTTATATCGTTATGCCTGCATTATGCAGAGGGTGATTTTTAGCGACCGCGAATCTCCCGCGCCGACATGCGATGCGCTGCCTGAAATCGCAGCGGATTTATCGTATACCGAATCAAAGACGGAATATCGCCGTGTTGATGACAAATTGTCCCCTCATACGGGATTGTTAGAGCTGTATTAACCGAAATTGCTCCGGAGAAAGCGTAAATATTCGCTCGGCCGAGCGAAACGAGATTTCATTTGTTGTCTCAAATATGGAAAATAATTATAAGTGTGACACAAAAGCATTACTAAATTAACAGAAGGAGACAATTCGATTGAAGAATTGGATTTATTATTTATATCGAAACGAGATTGAAAATGGATGAGATATACTTAAATAATTAAATATATTATTCGCCGGTAATAACTTATACCTCTCAGTCAAATCTAAATTTATTCGAGCTGAAACATACGGAAATGTTCGACAATAACGTACGTATTTCCGTAGTGTTTGTCATTGAATCGGAAACGAGAGGTGATTTAATACGTTCGGAATTGCGATAATTCCAAATCGCGTGATAGCAGCAGGATTAAGTGTATAATCTAACGACATCATAACGAGGGAAGGCGGCTGTTCCCCTGGAAACAAAGAAAAATGCGCCAAGTCTCCCAAACGCAGCTTCCATCTTGAGCAGGCCGAACGAAGACCGACGGGGGACCCTTCTCACAATATTGACTTTTGACCGTAAGTATTTATCTTTTTTTCTTCTTCTTCTTTTTTATAGTTACATATTTACATTTATCTGTGGTTGCCCTTTTGTCGGCTGGTCAGAGAAAGGTAGTTCCTCGGAGCAAAACTGGACGAGATATATAGACATAACTACTTTACCTATATAGGTACGTCCTCCCACTGCATCCCAGCTGCATCCTGCATCCGTCGGGCGAACCAGAGCAACTGGTTTCTGCCATGCATGGCGGAATAACGAAATTTCCATCCCGCAACTCGAACGCTGACTTTTGCGACGATTATTCTGTCAAATGTCCCGCCACAATTAGCGTCTATTTTTTCAATGACACTCGTTGGTCTAAAATTTAAAAAAACTTCGTGCTTTAAAGTATAAAAGATATTCACTTGAGAAAGAGAAAAGTCTCGGTAAAACGAAGAATTACTGAATTAGAGTAATAGAAACGTAAATAAATCTGTCGCACCGTTTCTCGAGAGAAATATATGTATACATCTACGAATATTTTTTTATAATAGGATCTTATCCAATCTGTTGAATTATATATTTCTCTATAGTCTTATTTGCAGTTGCATGTTTTGCTAAAGAATTTGTTCGTTGAAATTATTCTTGAGATATGAAATGATTCGATAAGTATATTTTAAAAATCAATTTGATATTCGTAAAATGTTACTTTTGTATTCACACTACGAAAAATTTCTAGTTAAAAATGAAGAAAACAAAAGGTTCTAATCATATCATTCAGATTCTGGTTAGCTCAACTAGAATTATAATATATTTAATCAGAAAATTCTAATTTGTACATTTTTTTCAACCAACATTCCAATTAATGCAACCAGACGTTTTTCCAGTGCATTTCATTTAAATTCGTTTTGAAATAACCTAAATACTTTTTCTCACGATAGTCAAATCTCGAAAAAAAATTTTCGAATGCATTAATCCTCGTATTCCATCACATCAGTTGAATTTTTACACTTACAATTAAATATATTTTGTAACATCTATACATATAATGAAAATTCACAATATATTTTCAATTTAATTATAAACAATTGTACGTATTAATCATACGTACAAGTAAAATACATAATTGTTTAGTACTATAATAAAATAAAATATTTATTATTATGATATAATATTAAGGTTTTTTTAATATTATAATATATTATAATATGTAGTAAATTATAATTTTTTCCAAGAAATGTAAAACCTATTTCCTTTTCTTTTCAATTTATTTATTCAATTAACTTCT